CCTCTCCAAACCCAACAGAGTTCTTCCGAGTGCTCTACACCCTCACACCCACCTCCCTTGGCTGTTTGTCAGAAGACTGAAAAAGCAGACTCCAAAGTCTCTCTTCAAAGCTTCCAACCTGAATGCATTTACATACATGTGTCCACAAAAGAAGAGAGGAAGATTTTTTTTTCTATTTTCCTCTCAAGGATCTCATTCATTTCTATGGTTTTACATACAAGTGAAGACTCACAAATATTTCTAGACAAGATTCCTACACCCAAAGTGGCCAACCAATTGGAATCTATATTCACATCTGCCAGACTCTCCAACTTCACCCTTCTGAATGTTTGATTACCCTGGACGCACGGGACTTCCCTCCACCTTACCAGTCTGTCCTATCTCTACCACCACCACTGGTTTCTCCTACCCCTTACCCATCCCCCACAACCAATGACCGTCCCTCGGGGACAACCTGGGTGTCTACTTCCTCCCACCTAGCTTCTGTGTCCTTTCCTGCAGGGCACACAGCCCTCCACTAAACTACATGAGCCCTCAACTGGACTCCTGTTTCCTCACGTCCTCTCCAGCTTATCATTACACTATGGCAGGAGCCGCTAAAACCTAACTCTGAACATCCTAAGTTGAATGAACAATGCCTAGGGCTCTTGAGTAGGGGAGGGATAAGGAACGGGACAGAAGGAAGAACAGATGAAGAGGGAGGAGGGATAAGAAAATCAGAAGAGAGGCACTCAAAGCATACTAGAGACGTATTGGGAAGACGACCAATGTGACACTGAACACAGCGAGAAGCTAAAGTCTAGTTAAAAGGCTAGAGTGACTGTCGTGGCTGGAATGTGGACCTTGGCCACAGAGGCAACCCCATCCACATGCTGACCGATCACAAGGCTACTGTGTCCTGTCAAAAGACGCACCTCCCGATCCCAGCTTTCCATCCTCAGTTTCTTCCACTGCTCTCTTTTGGAAAAGTAATCAGGATACATTGCCTTCTCAGAAGGATGCCAGTAATCTAAGCACCATTCTGGAACCTGCCAGGAGAGAAAATCATGTGTTATTCCACAGGCCACCTTTACAAATACCATGGACAAGGCCTGCTCAGGAGACAAGACAAAACTCAAGGGGCTTTTCTTATCAGTTACGGCAGGAGAGATGGCTCAGTCGGGAAAGCGCTTGCCACTCTAGCCTGAGAACCTGAGCTTAGAGTCCCGGTGCCCCTGGAAAGGCAGGCATGGTGATAAGGACCTGTTATGCTAGTGTGGGCAAGTGAAGACAGAAGAGTCCTTGGAGCTCACTGGTCACCCAGCCTAGTCCGAACAATGAACTCCAGGTTCCGTGAGACTGAGCAAGTGAGGAAAACATCCTAAGTTACCACTGGCCTCTACAAGTATACCCGCCAGCACAGACATATCACACACACATCGACCTATACATGTGTGTATCGTGTGCATGTAAAACTGATGCGACCGCGGCTTCTGACGCTAAGCAATGAAAAGCAGACGTGGAGGCAAGAGAGGTGCCTACGAGTAAATGGGCGTGGGGCTCAAACGTCACAGTTAGTCCAAGGCCACTGCCGTCACTCCTCTCTGGCCTGCGGTTCCTAAGCACCAAGAACTATGGAAGTATTGCCTGCGCGTCTCAGCAATGCTCAGCACCGATCCGAACTGACTAACTTTAAGTTCCCCAAATGAGTTATGTACCAAATTCTTCAGTACTGCAAAACCTTAGAGCTGAATTTATGGAAAGAGGAGAGAAAAAAGTTCAGCTGTCAGGGGAAATGTAGCCACTGCTCCAATGGCACAGGGTGTATAAAGCTGAGGTCTGGGGCTGGGGACAAAGCTGGTCTCTTGAGAAACAGCTGCTCTGCAGCATCACCTACCTTGTAGCATTCGTATCTCTCGTAGGAGGTACCCCCAGGAGAGTCTGGGAAGATATATGGCTGAGGATGCTGATTCTGCCAGAATTCTTCTTCCGCAGCCCTCAGCAGCTGTGTGGCCTTCATCATATCCTTCTCATTCTTATGTTCTTCAAACCGGGCTCTCAACAAACAAGCAAAGTACCGGAATTTGTCCCTTGAATCAAAATGATTGTGGACATCAGAAGAGTTATCTACTTGAGTGGGTACCTCAGCACTCCTACCAACGCATGCCAGATGAGCAACTTTCTGGCACCTCACCAACCTCCCAAGTCATTATGACCGCGTCCTCTGCAGCCCTCCAAAGAGCAACAACAGACACTGTATTAGCACAGCCTAGCCACTTCCTCTCATCAACAACAGACACTGTATTAGCACAGCCTAGCCACTTCCTCTCATCAACAACAACAGACACTGTATTAGCACAGCCTAGCCACTTCCTCTCTCCTCCTGGAATGAGGATTTTGACATGGAAGGGAAGGAAAGGCAACAGTTTTTGCAGGTTCATTCACTATGCATTCACTGACAACCACTGCAGGTCCTTCCATCGTGTGCTAGATGCTGGGCCACATCCTGGAGATACATAGATGACTAGGACGGGAGGTATGACCCAGTGGAAAGAACTTTGCTCAAATCATGTAGGTGCTCCTTCAATGCTGATTTTCACACCTGCTCACAAACCTTAGGTACGTAACAGTCTGGTGTTGCAGACTGTGGGCAGACATCAGGAGCCTGTGACAGTTCAAGCCACAGATGGCAAGGTCTAAATCAGGGAACTGTGATAGCAGACCACACACAGGAAAACAAAACAAACACCCATCTTGACCACCAGGTCATGAGTGTGAGCCTCTCTGGACTACTGCTAAACTAGCTGCACCGTCTGGGGTCAGTTACTTAATGTATCTAAAGGCCGACATACATATTCCATGAGCTGAAATCCAAAAGCACTCTTCACAAAGTGGTTGGCAGATTTCAGGTGCTCAGTGATGTAACAGGCATTACTAGGGAAAATCACTTTCGAAAGCTGGGTCTAATAAGGCACAATGCATAAGGACCTGTGTTAACAGGCAGAAGGGAAACTAGGAAATCCTGGAGGACAAGTCTAGGACCACAGGCTAGTGACTAAATTGCTAGTGATGGCATTAGCGGAGACAGGGGATTTGAGAATAGAATCAGTACGAGGAAGTGAAAAAAAACCAACTTGGTTTTCAAGAATTTGGATAAACTCAGTTGAAAGAACAGTAGCTGACCTCACAAACAACTGGAAAGACAGCTAGCTCAAGCTCCAACACTGAGGATGTCCACAGGATACACAATGCTACAGAGCCTTAGGATGGAACCAAAGAAACAGCCTAGGGGGCGAATGAGGGCTGAGGGAATCCAGCTCAGTGGGTAAAGCACTGTGCAAGCAGCAGGACCTGACGACGGAGTCCCAGAACCCAAGTAAAGGTGGACATGGGAGCACACATCGGTAGTCCACACATCGGTAGTCCCCGTTCTCCTCAAGATGAGAGGAAGACAGGAGACTTCCAGAAGGCTGTGGGCCAGCTAGCCTGGCATACCCGGCGGTGAAAAACAGAGACCCTGTCCCAGATGAGGTAGAAGGGCGAGGACTGACTGACACCCGAGGTTGTCCTCTGATTTCACACATGTGATGCCTACCTTTGTAGTTGGTTTTTGTTTTTAAAGGAAGTGATTCAGGCCAGGACTGAGAAAGGGTGTCAGATTTAAAATACACTGGGCCAGCGTTGTCACAGTAGCTAGTTTGATCATTCCCTTTGATTATGAACTCCAGGATTTCCAGCTGTATTACAGCACTACCTGAATTCTTGAAAGCTTAAATTCTTTTGTAAGACTGAGAATTCTGTGATCTACGAGTTTACCTGTCACTTTCCCCACTAATCCATGGGGATTGCAGCTTAAAAGAGGACCAGAATAGAAGCTGAATTGCAAGTGCTGTCACACAAACAAGATAACCTTAGGAAAGAAGCTAACAGCCGTACAACATTGTACACAGCACCCGCCTGCGTAATAAAGAGGGAGAGTCACAAACTTGCATTCTAGGATTCAGGGATACCCTCTGCAGGCCTTCCAGGGTTACTCAGTTTTCCATCATTTTCTTCCAAGTCCTTCAGGTTTTAGGATAAGAGTGTGGAGGGCTAGCTTTACACATCTTGGGTTGCTACCCACCCTGCGTTTCTTTTAGGCCATGAAATTCTACATGTTTTAACACTATATTATTGTTTGTTTATTTATTAAAAAGTCTTAAGTAGCATAGGCTGGCCCCTCAAACTCATTATGTAACTGAGGCTATTTCTGTCTCCCCCAATATATGCCACCATATGAGTAAGGCTCTTAACAGTAAGAATAGTCACAGTTGGTTAAGGGAATATATTTTTGTAGGAGATAAAAAAGACGCGACGGTAATGAGGAGCGATCAGATAAAGCTAAATACAGAAAAGATGGAAAGGGTGGAGACTGATGATGTTTTTGCGTCAGAAACCTAAATTTAATCCTAACTTGGCCACGCAGAAGTTGAACAATCGTGGGCAAATCAGTCACTGGGCCTGCTCATGTGTAAAATAAGGCTGAAATAATCACTAACTTCGGAGTGACTCTGCAAACTAAACATCATGCACGTATTCCTGCTAACATCAGGGACGACAGAGTCACGAAAACGTTAGCGCTGGATCCCTAACAATGACAGCCCCGGGCATTTTTTTTACTTCTTTTCTTCATGCAACCCCTCTGCGCTGGATCCTGGTCCCACCCGCGCGCATCACTGTCTCTGCTGGGTCAAGCAGAGGACAGCGTCAGGATCCAGGGTCAAGGGCGGGCTCCCTCCACCCCGGTCCCAAGTCCTTGAGCAGCCGGGCCCACAGGGCTTCCCGGCCGCCGCCCCCGAGCCCCGGGTCCCCTCTTCCCACCTGTGGACACACCACGACTCGAGGTGGCGCAGCGCGCGCTTATACAGCCGCAGCACCTTCTGCTGGTGGGTCAGGTAGGCCGGGGGCGCGCACAACGCCATAGCGCCCGGCTCACCTTCAGCGGCCGCCGCGGGGGCTGCCGGGAACCCGGAAGGGGGGCGGAGCCGGAAGGGTGAGCCTGCTCTAGGCCACTTCCGCTTCTGCCGGGGGAGGAGCCTGCCGCGCTGTCCTCATGAGTCGCTTCAAGTTCGTGGGTAAGGGCGGGTGGATTTCCTTAGCTGTGGGTCTTGCGGGCGGTCTCGGGTTCCCTGTCCGCGGCTTGGCCTTTCGAGGGTACAGAAGGTTTCCGGGACGCCTCGAGCGCCAGCAAGGAGTGATCGGGTTCTTGATCGGGGCTGGGGAATCATTTGTGAGAGCGCGCGAGTTGTTGTGCGTGATTGTGATTTGTGCACGAGTTGCGCGTGATCGTGACTTGTGCCTTTTCTGTGTTTTATTCAGTTGAAAATAACTGAGTAAGTGCCGGGGTGTGTGTCCGCGGTAGACTGCCTAGCACGGGCTAGGCCCTGAGTCCCCCATCCCCCAAAAAGAAAAAGAAGTTGGTGCTTCTTAACAAGCTTAACACTGTATTCTCTTGCTTTCCGTGAACCCTCGCTCCTCTTCGTGGACCGCCGGACAATGCCTTTAAGGTACCCGTTCGCTCAGTCATCCGATCACATCACAGATGACTGGCTGGGCATTGGGTCCTAGGAACGTGGCAGAGTCCTGGTCCCAGCTTTGCTGGCATCGCCGTCTAGTGATAAATGGGAGTCCATAGACAGGTGGAAAAGAAACAAATTGTGTTACCTGGCGAGAACCCACGATCCATAAAAACAGCTGGAGAGTGTGACAGGGATTCAAAATGATACTTTGGAAAACTTGGGGGACATTGTAAAAGGTAGGGCTGGAAGGATAACTTGGAACCCAGAAGTCTCGATGACTTAAGCTTCACTCTCAATGGAGTGGAGTTTTGGTGAAGGCTTTTCAGTACATTACTGAGCGCCAGTTTTATATAGGAAAAGAATCATGCCCTCCGGGATGCAGCTGGAGGTAATTTCAGCATGAACCTCGTCTTTGAGGAATTTCCAGCTACTTAGGGGTGGGAGCCGACAGTGATGAGGTTACCCTGATAGACGCTACGTAGATTTAGTGGCGGGTAAGGAGAGGTGCGGAAGTATTTCAGAAAAGAGAAGTGGAACAGTTGTGCCCAGCGTTCAGCACTGACCGTGTCTGGTTGTGGAGAAGGAACACTCAAAGTGACAGGCTGAGAAATGCCAGAATTCGGCTGCCTTGGCAGTAGGTGGGAGGGCCACTCGAGAGTTAAAGGACATCCAGGTGAAAACATCATCCAGGCACTTAGAAATGTCGTCAGGCACTCAGAGTTGTTAAGGTTACACACTAAGGTCTGAGAGATACTTTAAGCAATGCATTTTCCAAGACATTGTATTAAAGCCGGTGGAACTGTAAGAAATCTAATAGTGAGTTAATTTTCACACTAGAGAGGTTAAGTCCTATGACCAGGCAAAGCCAATGTGAGGGAGAATGTTATCAGGTTAAAAACAACCAAACAAAAACTGTGAGAAAACCTGAGGTGAAAGTTAGGTCTTCTGGGTTCTTGACACGAGGTGCTGGGAAGTAGTGTGTCCTGGAGAGGGCACAAGCCCCTCACTCCTTGCTCTGCTGCCTCTATGCCTGTTACTGGTTGTTGGCATCTAGGCTGAGTGTATCCAGGCTCTTGATCCCAAGAATTAAAAAGAAGGGCTTGCACAGATTTACAAAGCAAGGAAACTTTCTTTTGTGAAGTGATAACACAGATTTAAAAAAGAATGTGTGAAGTTTTTTTTTTTACTTGCAGTGTTTTTTTATAATAAAGTTTAAAATATATTTAATATGTAGCAGAGAAAGCAGTGTGTGTTTTCTTGTCTTATACCTTGTTATTCGAAAGCAGTCTTAGTATATAAACAAGTCAGTGTGTCCATGCTGCAATAAAGTTTTATAGACATTAAATCTTGAACATAAAAAATTGATTTATTTTATTTTGTGGGAGTGAGTACATGTGTACAGGTACCCATGAAAGCCAAAAGAGGGGGCCAGATCCCCTGGAGTTAGAGTCACAGGCAGTTGTGAGCCATCTGATGTGGTTCCTGGGAACCCAACCTGGGCCCTCTGGAAGAGCAGCAAGTACTCTTAACTGCGGAGCCATCTCTCCAGCACCTGAATGTAGCTGGAGAGCTTCTCTCCAGGTTCCCCAAGCCCCGCAGTCCCACAATCCACTTATAAAATAATCACTTAGACGCTTATATCACTTATAAACTGTATGGCCGTGGCAGGCTTCTTGCTAACTGTTCTTTTATCTTAAGTTAACCCATTTTTATAAATCTATACCTTGCCACGTGGCTGGTGGCTTACCAGCATCTTTACATGCTGCTTGTCCTGGCGGTGGCTGCAGTGTCTCTCCGTGTCAGCCTTCCACTTCCCAGAATTCTCCTCTCTCCTTGTCCCACCTACTTCCTGCCTGGCCACTGGCCAACCAGTGTTTTATTTATTGACCAATCAGAGCAATTTGACATACAGACCGTCCCACAGCACCTGAATCTCATTCTTTTTAATAATTTTCACAAGTAGCAAAATAGTCTGTTGAGTTTTAAAAACAATGTAAAATGCACAACCATTATTAATATATGGACAACAAAATAGGCAGTAGAGCTGGGTATTGTGGCGTAGGCCTCCAACTTCAACGCTTTGGGGAGGAGACAGTGCGTCCTACATGGAGAGGCCCTGTCTCAAGTGACACTGTCGGCAAGGGGACAGCGGCTGCGGGAAGGATCCCCTGCTCTAGCATCCTTTTGTTAATTCATGCATCTTTTGTCAGTGACTTTCGGAAGAAACAAGAACTAGTTGTCCCGCCTTTTGGGTTTGTCTCTTTGCTAAACAGTGCTATGGGTCCTTTGTTCTCTGGTTCTGGGGAGTTCCTGACCTTGAAATCATACCTAAACCATTTAAAATCCCTTGTTTGCTGTCTCTCTGTCCCTGAATCATAGGTAACATCACTTGACGTGATTCACTAAGCCCAGTCGGTGAGGCTTTAGCTTGCGGATATGGCTGTCTCTGAGAGACCAACTGTACAAACACTTTCCCTGCTTGGTTTTGAAAAATAAACTCATGTCACTACTTGTAGTTTTTGTTAAAGACAGCCTTTTTCTTTCTTTTATTTATTTGTTTGTTTGTTTGCTTTCGACACAGGATTTCTCTGTGTATTCCTGGCTGTCCCAGAACTCGATCTAAGACATCTATTAAAAGCTAACAAAAGGGAGAGATTACTGTCCTATATAGCAGGGCCTTCCAGCGCGTGACTCCTTCGGTCAGAAGGAAGTAGTGATTGCTCATGTTACTGTGTCTCCCAACCTTCTCACTTGGTTTCCTACTTTTCAAGCTATTTACATATTTGACCGAACTGGCTAGAAAGTTGGTTTTTATATACTATTTGTTTAACTTTTGTTTGTTTGTTTTTTGAGATGGGGTTTCTCTCTGTGTAGCCCTGGGTGTCCTGGAACTCACTCTGTAGACCAGGCTGGCCTTGAACTCAGAGATCCACCTGCCTCTGCCTCCTGAGTGCCGGGATTAAAGTCGTGCACCATCACTGCCCGGCAGTATTTGTTTCAGTTTACTTGCCAATAAGCATACTTCTGATAAGAATGCTTTTCATTTAAAAGATACTAACCCTTACATTAGATCAGCACATTTTCAACAGGCAAAATAAATAGGATTTTGCCTGCCTTTGTTTTTGAGGTCCCATCAAAATAGACAGGGGTGTGGGGAGATAGTTCAGTGGTTAAAGTGAGGACCAGAATTCAGATCTCCCAAACTCACCCAGGTGGGCAGGGCAGCCTGTCTGTAATTTTGGATCTTGGAAGGCAGAGGATCTCCAAGCTAGCCAGATACCACTGTAGGGCCAAGTTCTGGGTTCAGTTGAGAAACCCTCCTCGATGAATGATGTGAAAAGTAAAGGGAGGAAGACTCCCAACATCAATGACAGGGCTACACACACACACGTGCACCCATCTGCCATACATGCATCTAAACACTAATACACGTATTCATATACACAGGTACACACGGGGGAGGGACAGGGGAGTCAAACAGCTTGACTCAGTAGACTCTTTGATAACAATTTTGCATTGGGAGCACTGAGTACTGAAGACTCTAGAACAGAATAGCTAATAAAACAGCTCCAATGCCATATGGTGTTGGCACGTTACAGTTTGTACCATGCCTGGTAATGATAATAATTACCTGTTAAAGAGCTTTTGATGTGCAAGATGCTTTCATCCTCATTCTTGGATTTGAGTCATTTTATTGCCAGAGGATAACTCTGCTCATCCACCAAGAAGATGGAAGCTCAGCCAGGACCAAGATTATTTGGCTAATAACCGGCAGTGGCAAGAATTCTGACTCCAAAGCTCCCTTTCTTTCCATAACTGTAATTATAGTAATTTCATTTTACTGCACTTCTTGGACCTTGTTTGCAGATCGAACTCTTCCTAATCAATTGATCTGAACTTTTGTTTGGTTCCTCTGTATCCGAGAGCTGAATTACTGTAGTCTTTCCACAGCTGTTTCTGGTGGGCAGGTGGGCTGGGAAATGGCTTCTGTCTGGGAGCATTTTGTCTGGGAGACTGGAGAAGGTCTTCGAGGAAAGTGACGTGATTCACAGAGTGGAGGGACAGAAGTCCTTTGTCATTAGACTTGGCGAGGCCATAAAGAGACTGTCCTCAGTCTATCCAGGAAACAGTGGTTCTAATAACTAGCAAAGGACTGTGAGCTGTGAAGATTCTTGTGGGGAAGGAAGCTGTGGCTGAGCATTAGCACTGTAGGTCTGCCCGAGCCAGGACTGAATCTACAGGTTGAAACACACCGTGTCTCAGAACCAGAAGCCGGAGAGTTTAGAGATCAACCCTTAAGAGAAAGCAAATCGCCTGGAGTCAGCCTTCTGCCGTCTGCCTCAGGGTGGGCATTACAGAAAAGCTGAGCTCCGCTCTGTCTAGGATTGGGACAGGGTGAAGATGGCTTCCAAAGCTGAGCCTCCACTTAATCTTAGGTTCTCTTTTCAACTAGAGTTGGGGTGTGTCTTAGGGTTTCTGTTGCTGTGACAAAACACCATGACAAAAAAAGCAGGTTGGGGAGGAAAGGGTTTATGTGACTTACACGTCCACATTGCTGTCCATCCCTGAAGGGCAGGAACCCGAACAGGACAGGATCCTAGGGGCAGGAGCTGATGCAGAAGCCATGTAGGAGTGCTGCTTGCTCAGCCTGCTTGCTTATGGAACTTAGAACCATCAGCTCAGGGATGCTACTACCCACATGGGCTGGGTCTCATGGAGGCCGTTCCTCAACTGAGGCTCCTTCCTCTCTGACGACTCTAGCTTGTGTCAAGTTGACACACAAAACCAGCCAGTACAACTGACCCCTTGTCAACTTGATACACACACATATTACTATAAAGCCACAACCCTAAAATCTCACATTAAAAACATAACTTTAAAAATCCCACAGTCTTTACAAATTCAAGCACATTCAAATTTCAGACCCCTTAAAATAACCATTCTCTTAAAATCCATATTCTTTTAAAATTCAAAGTCTCTCAACTGTGGGCTCCAGTAAAAAAACTTTCTTACTTCAAGAGGGAAAAATCAGGGCACGGTTACAATCAAATCAAAGCAGACCCAAACTCTAGCCGTTCAAGGTCTGGGATTCACTCATGATCTTCTGGACTCCTCCAAAGGGCTGTTTCACTCTCCAGCTCCGCCCTCTGCAGCACACACAGCTTGTCTTCTAGGCTCTGGCGGTTCCACTCCACTGCTGCTGCTCTTCTTTGGTGGTCTTTCACAGTCCTGGCGTCTCCAAAGCACTGAGCTGCACTTTCACCAATAGCCTCTCATAGGTTCTCCTCATGGTGCCAAGCCTCGGCTTCTTTGCAGGACCCCTTCAGTCCTGGGCCTGCAACTGCCACTGAGGCTGCACCTTCACCAATGGCAGTGCTGTTCATCACTGAAGGAAGTCAGGACAGGAACTCAACAGGGCAGGAACCTGGAGGCAGGAGCTGATGCAGAGGCCATGGAGGAGTGCTGCTTACTGGCTTGCTTCCCCTGGCTTGCTCAGCCTGTTTTATAGAACCCAGGACCATCAGCCAAGAGATGGCACCACCCACAATGGGCTGGGCCCTTCCCCATTGATCACTAATTGAGAAAATGCCTTAAAGCTGGATCTCATGGAGGCATTTCCTCAACTGATGCTCCTTCCTCTCTGATGACTAGCTTGTGTCAAGTTGACACACAAACCCAACCATTACAGGGTGTTTATGCGTTTAGTTGCTTTTGATTCCATTGTATTTGGGAAAGTTCCGGTCACTTTGCCGATGACAAAGATTTCCTTGAAGAAATTGGAGCCTGACTGCCCTTGAATTGGCCTACTGATTCGGCCCCAACATTGAGCTCTTGGACTAGAGGTCCAGTTTTACCAAAAATTATAGTGAGTTAGTAGAGTGGAAATCCTCACCCTGATGTTTATCACCTTCAGTTCCTCATCCCTTACCCTCAGTGCTCCTGTCGCTGGGGTCCACACTCAGCAAGGATGTGTCACCTTGAGTTTAGTTAGATTCCTTCCTTCTACCTGCTGGGCCTTTAGAAACTTACCACGGATCCCTACCTTCTCTTGCCTCTGAATCTCCACTTAGCCTTGTGTGGGGGTTGAGCCTGGGCTCTCTGCTCTAGTGCAGAACCCTCACCACAGCCAGGCGTTGTGGCCATGTCTCTGCTCCAACCTTGATACGCACAGGCAGAAGGGTCTTTACAAGTTTGCGGCTAGCCTGGTCTGAGGGTAAGTCCGATTTAAAAACCCAAACCTAAACAAAGCACAAACCCCCATTGCAATAATCCCTCTGGAATAAAGGCTCCCTGGCTTCCATGAACAGGCGTCACAAATAAATGCCTTAATGAATGTATCTTAAAGATTTTTAAAAACACTCTTAAGAAGTGAAATGAGCTCGAAAAGGCCAAAAGCAATGAAGGCTATTTTTGTTTTTGTAATTGTCGATGTCGGGTGTAGACTAGTAACCATAGACCAAACCTCAGGCAAGGTTATTTAGGCAGAAAAGACTCTTTCCTCCCTGCGTCTTCTTCCTCAGCTTGTCTCCTTTATCTAATTTTCTTCCTGTGGTTGAAGAAAAACTAGAAGATGATTTTCTGTGAGCTTCAACATTCCATAAACCTATTGTATTTGCGGTGTGCATTTGTGTTAGATGGTCTTTCATCATAGTAGCCCCCTACAAGGTACTGCTATCGAAGTATCATAATTGTATCATAGTAGCCCTCCTGTGGAGGAGGAATTCATAACCTCATCCATCTCTGTCACTATGCTGATGTGCACACATATTTGTAATACTCGGTATTGTATCTTTTTGTTGCTGTTTGTTCAAATGCCTAGAATTCTCTCTTTGCTACTTCTTGGGTTCTCCAAACTCCTATTCACTTCTCAAGGTCTGTCATAATGTTGGAGAAGCACATCCTGAGGTACAGCTTGGCAGACGCCAAACAGAGAACATCAGAACCTGACATTTGGCAGGCGGAGGGTGGAGTTGGCCTGTTTTTTTTCCAGTGCTAGAAGCTGAGGGTGTTTAAATAAGGGAGACTTTGGGGCAGGGTTATGACTAACTTTTCATCTTACTCCCCTTGTCCTTTTATGCTCTACAAGATTTACCGAGAGCAGCACTGATTTGGTGGATTGGATAATTCTCTGTCAGGGGATATTTGGCAGTGTTCATAGCTTCAACCCAGATGCCAGCAACATTCCTCTCATGTGTGACAACCCAAAATGTATAGACATGACCAAATGTTGAAGGTGTGAGAAGGGGGGCTGAGAGGAGTGAGGTGCTGCGGAATGCTTCTTCCTTGAGAATCTCTGCCCTGCAGGCACGGTGGAGCTCATTTAGTGTTTTAGCTCAAGTATGTCCCTGCACACACACCTGTGCTTGGACCATTTGCCTTCAGCTTTTAGGCCTACGCTCTGTCTTCAAGACCCAGATCCTCTGTGAAGCTTTTTTCACTACTCGCTTGAAACTGATTGCCCCTCCTTTGTGCCCCCATACAGGTAGTAGTTATGTGCAGACGAAATGCATCCCACAGGTCAGTGTTGATGCTAGGGTCAAGTGATCCAGTAGTGAAATAGATGGGATTTCTTGACTTCATGTTGCTTACAGTGTAACTTATTATGTTATACATTATATTTGTAGTTCTCATGAGTATTGTACATTCCCATAGGGTAAGGACAAGTATCAAGTGTATTTCCTGACTCCTCATATAGCATTTGACAAAAGTCAGCCTCCATGTGTAGTTGGTGAATAAAGGAAGTAATGTATTCCCCTCTGTACATCTCCACTTCCATAACCATATCAGACTGTCTTCATTGCACATGAGCTTTTGCCAGTTCCCAAATGAGACACCCTAACTGCTGTAACTCCCTTCAGAGATCAGCTTCCAGTATGTCAGAATGAATGTCTTCAATGCACATCTGCCCTTTGATTAAAAATCATCAGGCGTCCTGTTGAATCCAGTATTTTTAAACACAAGTGTGTACCATAATTGACCTGGCCTTTCTGGTTAGACCCTTTCCTGTGCTTCTCTTCAGCAACTGGAAAACCTTTGACTTTCTAAAGAACTGTTCTCTTTCATACCCTGAAGCCTTGGAGTCTTAGTTACTTTTCTGTTGCTATGAAAAGGCACCATGGCCAAGGCAACTTCCAAAAGAAAAAGTTTATTGGGGCTCACAGTTCCAGGGAGTGAGTCCATGACCATCATGGTGGGGAGCATGGCAGCAGACAGGCAGGCATGGCTCTGGAGCAGTGGCTGAGAGCTCACGTCTTGATCCACAAGCAAGGAACAGAGAGAGAAAGCTAACTGGGAGTGGCATGGGCTTTTGAAATCTGAAAGCATGTTCCCAGTGACACCTCCTCCTACAAGGCCATACCTCCTAGTCCTTCCCAAACAGTTCCACCAGCTGAGCCTATGGGAGCCATTCTCATTCAAACTACCACTCTAACTCATCCTGTAATGTTCAGTTCAGGGTTCTTTCTTTCTGGGACCCTCTTCTGAGCCAGCCACCAAACTCTGGTAGAAATTCCTTGTCTGTGTCCCCTAAATAACAGTGTTTTAATTTCATGTTTTTAGTATTTTGAAGAAAAATATTGACAATTTCATATGTATATATGATGCATTTTGATTCTCTTCCTAATGAACTTTCCTTCCCCCTCAGTGTTCATTTGAATGCTCCATAATTTCCTGTGAATAGGTCTCCCTTGATCACTTCTGCCAGAGTCTTTACAAAGCAGAAATCACATCTTAGTTATCTTTGTATTCCACAGATTTATCATAGTAGTGATGACAAGTGGCTAGCCCGTTGATATTGCTGGGATAAATGAAGGTGTGAATGAAAAGCTTACTTAGAGATGTTTCAAGTAAATTGTTTTAATGGCCGTGCTTTGCTTTTGTTTCTCCAGATATTGGTATCAACCTGACAGATTCTATGTTTAGAGGAATCTATAGGGGGGTGCAGAAGCATCAAGGTAAGTGTTTCTTTTACTACGGTGACTTCTATGGAGACACACTTTCTGCCTCAAGGTAGATCTGGAAAAGCATGATCCACTCTTAAAATTGAAACATTAAAGAATTCTGTGTAGCTGAATAGAAGTCTATCACTCAGAAGGAAAGAAGAAAGTAAGTTTGTGGTCAGCCTGGGCTGCATAGTGAGAACTTGTTTTAAAACAAAACTCCTCATCAGATAAAACAAGAAACTAAGTCAAGCAAGGCATATTGGTAAACCATCACTTTGAACAACAGGGCATGCAACCTAACAGTTACTTCCTGTGAGCATCAGTTTATCAAGTTCTGAAACATGTTCAGGGTCTGCAGATGGTGCAGTAGCACTTACTACACTTGCAAAGGACCCAAGTCTAGGTCCCAGCACCCACACCTACACTGGGCAGCTCACAACTGCCTATGAGCCCAGCTCCCAAGCCTCTGAAGCCCTCCTCTGGCTTCTGACAGCATGTGCATTCATGTGCACATACCCACATATAGACACATACACACATAATTAAACAATAACTCTTCTGCAAAGGAAGAACACATTTTTCAGCCAAGGACAAAGTGCAGTATAGTAGAAGAGAGGTGTACTGCTGTCTCTTCCCCTGTCTTCCCTTCTCCCCTCCCTTCTGTGTCTCTGTTTAGAGACCTAGTATATAGTTGGGACCAGATAGTTGTATCTTAGAGATTAAACATAGGCTTCACCAGAAGCAAGTGCTTTGTATTACCACGTAAGTTCATTTTCCTCTCCAGTCCTAAGAATGCCAGCCAGGGCCTGATACAAGCTTAGACAAGTGCTGTATCACTAGGCTGTGTCTCCCACGTGCAAGTTCATTGATGAGGTCTGTTTGGTTAGCTGAGACGTGACTAAGCAGGAAACGGCGGTGACGCCACATTTTAAAAGCAGACTCTCTGCAACAGACGTGTCTGTGCACACTGCCTGAGAAGACTGCCTGTGCTCATTATGTACATGCAAACAGGAATATCGGTTTTGTGGTTGAGGATGAGAGAGTTCCGTAGAGCAGTAAGGCTAAGTCAGAAACAGTCTGTGCTTCTCTAGATGAGGTGGGCAGCTTTCCTGAAACAAGAAAATAAATGTTTTCTCGGGTCTCACCACTAACCAACTCTTCTACTCCATTTAGACACTTGGATGATATTTTATATGTTACTTATATAATGAAGTTAGCTACTGAGTAAATTACATTCTGCTTTCCTTGCCCTTGTAGCACTTAGATTCATGTTTTGCTGTTGCATGTGTAGATGCATGTAGCGTGAATTCTAATTGGTCTTACTAATAAAAACCCGGAGCCAGGGATCGGGGTAAATGCTGAAAGACCAGAGACACAAAGGAGCAAGCCACAGCCACCTCTTACCTTGCCCACTCCTCAGCCTGAAAGGGGGGCTGAGCTCCTGTCTCCGCCCACCTTGTATTCCTCTCCACTCAGCCGTATCACTTCCTGTTTTCTCCTCCCTAGAACTGAGATCAAAGGCCTGTGTCCCCCAAGTGCTGGGATCAAAGGTGTGTGCCACCACTCCCTGGCCTCTGTGGTTAACTAGTGGCTAGCTCTGCACTCTGATCTCCAGGCAAGCTATATTTGTTAGAGCACAATCAAAATATCACCACAGATGCATGTGTGTTTGTACATGTGTTTATGACAGAAATTATATAGTGGTCAGTTATCACTACTACAGTTCTGCAGTTTATAATCTGGCCATCCTAGGTGTTGAGTATAAATTAACTAAGGTGACTTTTGTCTCCTATTTTGTAGCTACTTTAGAAGTAACAATAATTGAATCCTATTTACATTTTCTCTGGTACTTAAATATAAAGTGAATAATGGAGTTTTTCTATTTTACTTCACTGCCCATTTGTTTCTGAACCTAACACCGGGTTGGGGGACTTGCTCAGGGTATGAAGTGCTTGCTCTGCAAAGCACTGAGTCCCAAGTTCGGATCCCTAGCACCCATGTGAAGGCTAAGAGCAGCAGCGTGAATCTGTAAGCCCAGTGTGTGGCAGGGACACAGGCAGACCCTGGGGGCTTGCTGACCAGGCAGTCCGTCTGAAACAGTGAGAGTCTCAAAATATGCACTAGACAGTGATAGAGGAATACCCGGGATTGCCCGCTAGCCTATACACATGCACATGCGTAGGCATATACTCGCTCACACTCTCTCATGTACACACAAATGCACATTTTCAGATACACAGCACATCAGTTGATTTGTAGCCGTTGAGTTCATCTTTAATTTGGACTTCTCCATTGTGATCAAAAAAATAAAAGTGTTGCCGGGCGGTGGTGGCGCACGCCTTTAATCCCAGCACTCGGGAGGCAGAGCCAGGTGGATCTCTGTGAGTTCGAGG